GATACAACACTGTGAAATTCAATCTTCAACTGAAGGCCCTGCAGTTCTCCTAAAACATAGTTCTTTGTTTCTTTCTTTAACAAAGTTTAAGCTAGTGTTAATAAATTAAAAAGAAAAATTGCTTGTCTGTCCACTTCAGCTTTGTTTTAAGCCCATTTCATATTGTTGTCAGTGTTGTAATTCATACTTTTGATACCATTTCTGATGTGTAAAATTGGTTGTCTTGTAAATATCTTATAAAGAGTTCAATTGTAAATAAACTATTGTGGCTGTTAATTTTTGAACTTCTGCTTTAATTTATTTTATCGGGAAGTATTAAACAATTGTGTTTGCAGATTTTAAAAGATGAGAAAAAAATCTATTTCACAAAATAGAAAAAAACTCCATTTTCCCTTTTATATAAGGTATTCACTTCCATTTGTGTATGAGCACAATGTATGTTTCATTTCTCTTTGTCCTGTGTTCTTCCTTACACATAACTAGCAACTTTAAAAGTGAGAGTATAGGGTAGGATACTTGGTGCCTACTGTCTAAATTAATAAAACCTCAAAGTTGGAAAAGACCTTAGAGGTCATCTAGTCTAACCTCTAATACATTCCAGACAAATGAAGTCCAGATTGTGCTCCAACATTTCTTTTTTTTTCTATAAATTTTTTTCTGTTAGAAAATTCTTCCTTGTTGACAAAATCTAACTTCTTGTAACTCAAACCCATTGGTTCTTTGCCTTCCAGGGTGATGAATAAAGATCAGCTCCTCCTTTTCCTCAAAGTCCCCCGATTAAAGATACCTGTGGCTATTCCAACTCTTCATGGTAAACATTCAGAGATATTACACTTCCTCAAAATAAAGGATTTTGAATTTTTCAGTGCCCTCTGGATGAGTGAACAATTTGCTCATGTCCATTTAAAAACTGAGCCCAGACCAACTGAAAGGCAAAGTGGCAGACATCACTTTTCCTTATTCAGACACTAAACTTGGCAGCCTTATTTGCATCGATTTACTTTGTGATCAGTAAGATCCTTCATGTTTTTTTAAAACCTTAAATCATATATCTTCCATTTTTAACCCTGGACAGTTGTAACTAGATTTACAAGTTGTCACATCTGGCCACTTGTTTAACCAGTTGAGATCTGTTTGGATCCTATTCTGAAGGCATTCAGAAAGCGTTCTAGTTTCATACTGTCTATAAATTTGGTAAGCATGAGGATTCTTAACCATACATAATTTGTAAATGTTACACACGACAGAATCCTGTACTGTGCCACGGTGACCTTTGTTTGAGATATGTGTATTATTAACGTGCACTCTTGTAGGTGCACTAATAACTTAGTTCACACATCGTGTCATTACAGTCCAAAGAAAATACTGTTTTTTTCATTGATGACAAATGCCTTGACAAAATCAAGACATTCCCTTTTCTACCCGTGTGGTAACCCTTAACAAGAAGGGAATCATGTCAATATATTGAACCAATGCGAGTTCCTATGATCACCTCTTCTTTTTAAATCAGTTCTAAAACCTTGGTAAAACTAGCATCTTACCAGCCTGCTCTTTGGAATGGCTGGAGTGGGAAGACAAATGAAGAAGGAAGAGGACACAAGAACGCAAGGAAGTTAAGTCCAGGCTTCACTGCAGACAACTGGTTTCTCCTTCACCCTTTAGCTTAAAATGGGTGGTGTGGCAAATCTGATGTAGCACAATGGCTACATCATTAGAGGTTCACCTTGACTCGTGAGTTTACAAAACAAATGCGGTAAAATGATTTGCTACAAACGTAAGTAGAAACGAGAAATGTACAAAGAAAACCATGACAGCTCTAATGCCGCAGTGAAGCTGTGACAGGTCAACGCCTTCCTCTTGGAAAGCCCAAGATGGCCGGGCAAGGAGCCGAACGACACTGCCCAAACGCAGCTCCCCTTGCCCGGGGCCTACCCAGGGGAAGTCAGGGGACGCGCCACGCCCCCTCACGTCACCGACTTACGTCATCCCGTTCGCCCGCAAACGTGCCGCAGGACGCCATCCCCGTCCCCAGCCTTCAGAAAAGCCGGGAGGTCAGCGTCGCACGTGAAGCATGCTGGGAGTAGCTCTCTAGCCTCCCGGCAGCCCCAGCGACAGGCGTACGTAGGCGCTGGCTGGCCGTTCTCCGTAAGATGGCGGACCGGCGGCGGCAGCGCGCTTCGCAGGATACCGAAGACGAAGAGTCTGGTGCTTCCGGCTCAGACAGCGGAGGTTCTCCTCCGCGGGGCGGCGGGAGTTGCAGCGGGAGCGCTGGAGGTGGCGGCAGCGGCTCTCTGCCTTCCCAGCGCGGAGGCCGAGCCGGGGCCCTTCATCTACGGCGGGTGGAGAGCGGAGGGGCCAAGAGCGCTGAGGAGTCCGAGTGTGTAAGTGCGCGCGAGCGGGGCGGGCCGGGGCAGGTGGCGTGCCGGCCTGGGGGCGGGGTGTAGATGATGATGGGAGGCTGGGAATTGGTGGTAAATGCTGGGGTATATTGTGTTGGAGTAGAGGACAGCTATTCCAGTGCGGTTTGCATCCGGAGCCCCAAGGGAAGAGGAAAGGTTGAGGGTTTCAGGGGGAGGGCAGAGCGCTGCGAATGGACAGCGAATGTTTATTAGGAAGTCGGGCCTGGAGGCGAAGAGACCAGATCTTCCTCGGATGCTGCTTGTTAAAGATGTACCATTTCTCGTCTCCCTTTTCAACCATTTTGCTCTGAGTTTCAGCTCTCCATCCCCCTCCCTGGAAATCACAACTAACCCATGACTTCTCGTTTTCTTCAGGAGAGTGAAGATGGCATCGAGGGCGATGGTGAGTAGCATCAGGATGAGTTGCCCAAAAACCCAGCTCAGGTATTTGCAGTAGTTTACATCCTCTCAGACTGTTACGGATTTGGGGAGAGGTTTCCACAGAGTGGCACTTTGTAGCATAGTGCTTAAGAGCAAATGTTTTAGCAGTGACTTAGGCAAGTCACTCTTTGATCTTGTTTCCCATCTGGAATAGGGAACTGTAATTTTATCTTTATCATACGTTGATTTCAGAATTAAGTGAGATTTTAGCCAGATCCACAGCAAGTAGTCAGGAAATGTATTATAATAATTTCTGTTGCATTTTTTTCTTTAAATGTTTCTGTTCTCTTTTAGCTGTTCTGTCGGATTATGAAAGTGCAGAAGACTCAGAAGTGAGTGTGATAGGTTCTTTTTCCTTTGGTGTAGGTGGAAAATGTATTTTAAAAACATATACACCTGTGGTTCAAAAGTACCATGACCTACTTGTTAACTCTTCTTGTACATTATTCATATATGCATTTGAAAAACTTACAAAAAGGCTTGTTCAGTAAGAGGGAAACTTGATGCAAGCCTCTTCAGGCCACACATGTTATACTGTTAGTAATTGGCTTTTCACCCTATCTGAAGAAAATAAGGTTCTAAATAAGAGAGAACATTCTGAAGCCCTTCACAGGAAACTTGACAATTCATTTTATGCTGCCTAAATAGTGAAGCCAGCCAGTTCTTTTGTTTTGTTTTTTGAGTGTATCCGAAGACCTTGAAAGGGCAGGATTCTGAGTGGTTTTTGTCAGAAACATCCCTCACTTTATAGATGGGGCTTTATCTTTAGAAGAAAGTTTTCCTAAGCCAAGCCTCTGTGGGCTTGTTTTGATTGGATAAACTACTAGAGAGACCATCAGAATACCTGTTGGTTTCCTGGGATTGAGTAGAGTCCTGAGTTCTGGATTTGGGTGATGGAGTTATATATCAAATTTTCATTTTATAAGTTTTATAGAACTGTCACTACATATTAGACTTTTTATTGAACCCTGGAGTTGGCAACAGTGAACACTATACCAAAATTCTTAAATTTAGGAATTTTAAGACTTAGTAAGGAAGTCAAACAATCATAGGCAATCATAGGTATTGGTGAAAACTGCTGGAGGATATGGTTAAGTAAGGTGTTAATGGCTTGATACTGAATGTATCTTAGGCAGTCAGGGAAGAATAAATTGGAATTAGGCAAACCATGTTCTAGGCAGAGGGAGCAATAGATGCAAAAGCCCAGAGGCAGGAGAGAAAATTGAATATTTGGGAAATTGAAAGTAATCTGGTGTGACTGGAGCATTGTTGAGATAGGATGGATAGCAGAAGTAAAGGCAAATTAGTGAGCAGGAGCCAGATCATGAAGGGCCTTGTTTCTTCTTTTCATTAAGTATCTGCTCTGTGCTAGGAGCTGTACTAGGCACTGGAATAAAAGACACGTGGTTCCACCTTTGTGAAATTTACATTTTGGGTCAGAAGGGGGAATAGACAGTTAAGTAATTATAACAATGTTTGGTAAGTGCCGTGATCCCGTTTGGAAACACAGGGTGCTTTGGGAGCACATAACAGGGCCAACTAACTGGATTTAGGGTATTTGGAAACCCTTAGAGGATGGGATGTTAAAAGAGAGATCTGACGGATGAGTATGAGATAGCCAGGCATAGTTTTCTAAGGAGAGGTAACACTGTCTGGGAAGAGGGTCTGGAAGGAATGGACTGCATGACGAGTTGAAGGATGTGAAAAATTTAGTATGGCAAGTGACGAGTCGATGAATCCAAATTTTAAAGTACCTTATAAACCAGGTTAAAATTTATTTTAATTTAAAGCTAAGGAAGTGAAAAAATATAACAGGGTTTTAAACAAAAGTGTCAGATCTTAGGAACGCTGGCATCAGGAAATCTAGTTGGCCAGTCCTACTGCAACAGAATCTTCAGAGGGAGGGAAGACTCAGACATTTATATGTTAACAAGTTTCCTGGTTGATGCTTATGCACAGTAAAATTTGAGAGTTTTATAACAGTTATTTTGTCTGCAGTGGAGAGAGTTGATCTGAGGGGTGAAAGATTTGAGAAAATCTAGTTAAGAAAGCTATTGTAGAAGTCTAGGCAAGCAGTAAATGTGGCATGGAGTGGAATGGTAGTGAAAAATAGAAGTAGACAGAACTGAAAGTTATTTAGGCTATGGAATTGACAGAATGTAATGACTTATTTTCTCTGAAGTCAGCGGTGAAGTTATCTGCAAAGTAAAAGAGATGAGCCGTTTCGGGGTGAGGAATGTTTGCAGATGTCACTAGAGAATGGAAACGGAAAGACTGCGAGGCAGTATGGCATGTTCGGTGGAGTTCGGTGATTGAATTTATAGCAACTCACCATTCTGTATGTAAAGGAGTTTGGGTGTTATCCTAGTAGCAAGGAAAGAGGCTACTGAAGGCTTAAGTGTGGCAAATGAATTGTGGATGAGGCAAGAATGGAGACAGGGAGCTGTTAAGAGGTTGTTAGGATAGTCCCAAGGAACATGATGAGGCCCTAAAGAAGGGACATGGCAGTGGGATTGGCAAAATGTAGACAGATTTGGGAGATTTAGATGGTACTAATAGAACCCAGAACTGAATGTGAAGCCTGCATTAAGAAGGAGTCAAAAGAATACTCAGGTTGATGAATCGTGTTATTCACTAAGAATGGGACCAATGGAGGAGGAGGTTTTAGGAAGGACACTAGTGGTAAAATTTTGGCTGTTTTGAGATTGAGGAACCTGTGGTAGCAGCCAGCTAAATGTGGCTATTTAAATTTAAATTAATTAAATTTAAGTTAAAACTTCAGTTTCTCAGTTGAAATAGCTACATTTTACTTAATAGCCACCTGCGGCTGGTGGCTGCCGTTTTGGCCAGCACAGATAAAAATATTCTCACCATTACAGAAAGTCCTATGGGATTGTGGTGGTCTAGATTACAGAAAAAGATTTGACATTCTGACTTTTATAGTAATTGTTAATTGCTCTTCTTTGTTACTAACTGAGTATACTTAGACACTGAAGTTTAGTGTTGCTTATTTCTTAAAATTTGATCTCACTCAATCTACAGGCTAGTTTTTCAACCCTTTACAATTTATCCGTTGAAAAAATTTTGATGGTTGCTCACTCATAGTCTAATTCAACATGCTCCCTCTGTCCTTTGTATTTCTTGCAAAATGGTATTTTCAGATTCGTGGAAACAATGTGAACCAAAGATTTTATCTTGAGCGAAACCGACCACCCAATTTTCTTTTCTTTAGGTCCAGTAATTCAATTAGAATTTGTCTTGGTGTTGATTATTGCAAGTCAGTGTTCACAGATAGATGTCCTCTACAGTGTGTCATGGAGCTCCTAAATGTTCTTTGTCTTCAATATTTAACCCTTTTTTCCTAATCTTTTATCTTTTTTTCATTTCTATTCAATATGATTCTCCTCTCAATAGTTTCTCTTCATTGTGGGACCCTACCCTAGAAAGGAGCCCTGGTAGCCAGGTCAGTTTCAAGATTTCAGAGCAGTTAGACTGCTTAGCCCCATTCAGACCACCTTATTATCACAGAATCCTTATGCTCACATGCTACTGGAGATAGTAAATTCCCTCCTAGTTTCACCTGTTCTCAGTTTTGCTTTCCATTGAATACCTGTTGATTATTTCAGGGTTCTCCTATTCTCAGGTCCATTTACTTCTCTCTCCTTTTTCTGACACTAATCAGATGCAACAGTCTTGTGGCTGTTGGTGCTTTGTTTTCATGTGCTTATATTTTGGTGTCTTGGATAGATCTTATAACCTAGTCTTGTTGTACATGTCAGAGGGTTTTGATTTTACTGTCTAGAAGCTCTCGTTTTATGTGGAGATTTGAAGAGATCAAAAACTATGCTAATACCATTTTCCCAGAATTTTCCAAGAAAAAATTTTTAAAGAAACTTGACTATGAAGGGGAGACTAGAGAGATAGTAACTAGAAAGAAGCTTACGAAGTTAAGAGAGGGTTTGGTGGTTATATTTTTAAGTTAGAGGATCAAATATGGTTAAAGATTAAAGGAATGAGTAGAAAGGGAAAGAAAAGGGAAGGTGTAGGTAATAAGTGTACTGGTGTTCTTGACTGAGTATGTGAGAAGAAATAGGAACCAGACAAGGCTAACATTTTCCATTGTAATTCTAGAAAGGTAGAAAGGAAAGGAGTGTGGGGAAGAAGCTGGTGTTCCTGTCCTTGTTTTCTTTGTGAAATAGAATGAAAGAGAAGGAGTTTGGTGTAGGAATGAAATAGGAGTTGAGACTAAAGGAGGTTCGAGTAGCTGAGTTTGGATGTGGCAGTGATATGTGAAGTTATCTTAACTCTTTTCAGTGACGTCCATAGTCTGGTTAGGCCTAGAGAAAGGAGACATTTGAGTTGATCCAGTCCCGGACACATGGGAGTGGCAGGGAATTAAGAGTGTTAGTAGTAGTGATTGAAATGAGTGGGCCATGGAATCTAGAAAGATAGGAAAGTGAATGTGGGAAAGACTGATTGATAGGAGAATGTGAGAAGGTCAAGGGAGTAGATATTGAAAGTCGTAGATGAGAGAGTAAGGGAAAAAATGGGTAAGAACAGGAATAATAGGCAGGGTTTTTTGAAAAACAGCTTTATTGACATATTTACCTACAGTTTATCCATTTGAAGTGTACAGTTCTTTGATTTTTAGTCTATCCGCGGATATATGTGGCCATTACCACAGTTTCAGAACATTTTCATTACCTTAGGAAGAAAGCCTGTAGCTTTTAGTTATCACTCCCAACCCTTAGTTCCTGCATCCTCATCCCATCCACCCTTAAGCAACCACAAATATACAGTGTCTAGAGATTTCCTTGTTCTGGCCTTTCATATGAATAAAATCATAAGTGGACTCTTGTGACTGGCTTCTTTCACTTAGCATAAAGTTTCCAAGTTGGATCATGTATCAATACTTCATTCCTTTTTATGGCTCAATAATACTTTATTGTAGGGACGTACCACATTTTGTGTATCCATTCACCTGTTGATGGACATTTGGGTTGTTTCTATTTTGTTCGTTGTTGTTATTACGAATAATGCTGCCATAAACATTAGTGTACAAGTTTTTGTTTGGATGTATGTTTTTATTTCTCTGGGTGTGTACCTCAGAATGGAATCACTGAGTCATGTGGTAACTGTATTAAATCTTTGCCACACTTTTCCAAAGCAGCTGTATTATATTCCCAAAAGCAAATGTATAGGGATTCCAATTTCTCCACATACTCAATAGCACTTGATTTTTTTGATTCTAGCCATTCTAGTAGGTGTGAAATGGTGTCTCATTTTGATTTGCATTCCCTTGATGATTATGATTTTGAGCATTTGTGTGTGT